CTGCTTTTCAACTGGGGAAAGAATGTGCAAAACGTACCATAGTGCCTCATATCTTAATTGGTGGTGATACAGATACAAACCCACAGGATCTTTTCGGAGTTTGTACTGGTAGGTAAGTCCTACTTGCATATCAATGCATTCATTTCAAATATGAAAAGAAAAGAACACGAGATTTCAAAAGTTTAAATGCTTTTTCATGTGTTTTATAGCCCTCGCATTGTTGCTCAACTACGGAAGAAAGACTTAAATACTTCCACTAGTAAGGGACAGGCTTGAAAGTAAGCAAACAGTATTACAGGAAATGAACAAACAAAAACCAACCAAAGTGGATGATAAAAATCAGTGTACGCAAACAGCTATTACTGGATACCTGACTTGGAGAGAAATGCTCATGGCTGAATCCTAGCTGTGATACTGTCAACTCACACTGCTTAAAAGTTAGCAGACTAACATGCTGGTATGTAAATACACAGTTAACTGAAGTCATACAAACCACCCTGGCTACTGTGCAGCACTCTGCATCCAGCGTGTCAATAGTCTCCTTTGAAAATGTTGACTAGACCAAGAAGGATGATTTAAAAGTTCAGGCCAAAAAAACAGATCCTCAAGAAATCAAGAACGGAGGAAAGAGTCTGATATATGGCATATTTTCAATTTTATTGCTTTATTTGGAAGACAGCACCACTAGCTACAATCTCTCTTTCTGGACTGGTTAAAGAATGTAGAGATGGAGACAGTTACCTCTGGAGGTGTGTAAAAATGAATTCCTGACCTTTTGGTGCTAAGCAATTAAAAATGTACTGATAAATTTTGAAACAGGAATGAGTTTCATTATTGTGTTCTAGAAGTTTGGATAATAGTGAGCAGTATACGTACTGGTTACATGGATAAGACATTTCTTAGCTCCATAACAATTTGTATACTATATTCTGATTGTGTAGATTATACAAAATAATATTAGTTTTTTACTTCTATAAATTAAAATAAAAGGAAGCAGATTGTTAGGATAACACCCTCTGTTTATGAGAATGTACAATACTTGCAAGGATAGACCTAGCACTATCGATTTTAAGAAAAACATCTATGTAAAAAATCACAGCTGCTGCTCAGTTTGGATATAACTATACACCTTCTGAACTGAGTCTAGCATTCCTTCTTTTGTTAATTTTATTCCTACCAAAGTGCACTTTTAAGGTAAAACATGAAAAACAGTGTGTAAATGGGCAAAGGATTTGACGGGTTATATAATTTAGAAATTTCTACAGATGACTTTTTATGGAGAAGCACGTAAGTAA